CCATGCAGCACAAAACCTCCAGATAAAAACCTGGCGAACCAAAGGCTTATATCGCCTAATAGACTTTTATAAAAAATAACAAACCCTTGTCAACACAAGAAATACAAGACAAACTAGAAGACACCCAAATGCCCTGGTTAACACAACACCAACTACATGCCCTCTTAAACAACCCAACAGTAAAATCAGCAGCAACTAGGCCCCTGACAACCTTCAAAAACCTCCTCCTAACAACAAAGGGAAACAGTAAAGGGACGGTATCCGCAATATACAAAATACTACTCCAAAACCCTGCAAATCCCCTAGATGCAATCAAAAAACAATGGGAGAATGACATAGGCTATGAGATTAACCCCACTCAATGGACCAGAATGTGGTCTAAACCCCCCTTTAAATCCATATCAACGAAAAGAAAAGAACTCACACTGAAACTCACCTACAGGTGGTACCTAACACCAAGGAAACTAGCGCTAATACACCCAGGAACCTCACCAAAATGCTGGAGAGGGTGCACCTCCACAGGCACATACCTCCACATGTGGTGGGAGTGTCCCAAAATCCAACTATTCTGGACAACAGCCATACAAGAAATATGTAAAATAACTAAGCAAGTAATAGACATCACCCCAGAATTGGCCCTACTAAACATCTTCCAAGACAACAATGCCCATTTACACCACAAAGAACTCATAACCCACCTGCTCTCACCAGCCAGAAACACCATAACCAGACACTGGAGAGACCTGTCAGGAGTAAGCATGGACCAATGGTACCAAACAGTATGGGAAACAGCCCTACTAGAAAAATTAACTAATAAACTGAAACTGACACGGGGACAAACAGAAGAAGACAGCCCAACAGGACAATGACAATAATCCACCAACAGCATACAAATCAATATGGCTAACCTGATCCAAAACACACACACACACCTCACTCACACACGAAAACAAAGATCACCACAGCCAATCACAAGCAAACAATCACACCCTAGGCCAACCCCAACCTCTCTCACCACCAAAGGAACACAAGTGAACAACACAAACAACGCTGACACCAAACTCTACATACATTAAACATAATAGAAACACCGCCACTCAACCCCACCCCCATCCATCTTCCCTCTCTCCACCCCCCTTTCTTTTTTCTTTCTTTTTTCTTCTCCCCCTAATGCCTCAACAAATGAAACGGATTTGTAAAAATGTTACATGGAAGAAGAAGAAAAATACGAGGCACTACACTTCTGTAAAACAAGAAAATCCTTAATATAAAAAAAATAAATAAGGAAAAAGGATTTGCGTAAATGAGTTCAGAATTTGAAAAACTTGTAAGAAGAAAGGAGGATGAATTAATCTTGAAAATTTATAAATTTCTACTGGTGAGAGACCAAAGCTGCAATGGTAAAGGCAACAATGACAAAATGAACCACAGATATTGGTTACAGCATGAAATTGTCCGCATGGGGAAAAATAGGGGGGGGAACCATGAATTTTTCTACCTGTTATCTTATTAAGGAAAACCGACAAAAGATGATGTACAGGTGGTACTTGACACCCAGGAAATTAGTGAAAATGTATTAAAAAGGGTCTCATTTATGCTGTACTGATCCATATGTGGTGGTCATGTAAATATGCTAGAGAGTACAGGCATACCCTGGTTGTCAAACACCTTGGTACTCGTCTGTTTTGGCTCCCGAACGCCGCAAACCTAGAAGTGAGTGTTAAAGTTTGAGAACGTTATTTGGAAGCCGAACGTTCGACGCGGCTCCCGTGGCTTCTGATTGGGTGCAGGAAGCTCCTGCAGCTAATTGGAAGCCGTGCCTTGGTTTTTGAACGTTTTCGGAAGTCGAATGGACTTTCGGAACGGATTCCGTTCAACAGCCAAGGTACAAGACTGTATTGGGAAATGTTCCATACACAATTTAAAAAAATTCTAAAACTCACATTTCCCAAAAAACCAAAGGCCAGGCAGGGCTGGGCAATGGGCTCTTTGAGGTAGTGAATGCTTCCCCCTGTGAGGGAGTCTTCCTAGACCCATTTAAATATGTCTGTCAGCCCATTGCATTCTCTCGGAGGAGGCAAAGCCTCTTCCTCCACTTTGAATGAGCTGGACAGTCTTCTGCATTTCTAATCTTGCCTGTAAAATGTTTTACTTGTCTGCCTTCTACTAAAAAAAGGGTTATGAAGTGCAAAATGCAGGCAAGTAAAATGTTTGAACGCCAGCAACTTTGGAGGACATGCTAACCAGTCTGGGTGAGGAGCAGAAACTGGACTTTGCTAAATCAGTAGCTTCATCCACTTGGTAAACCTAGCTGCAAAACAGAAACTACCACATCCTTAGTACACACTCTTTCTGTGAAACAGCCACGACACCACATACAACTTTTAGAAGTCCAACAATTATTATTTGCATCCTACATTCAGGAACCAAGGCTTGTTCTTAATGCAGCTTTAAAGCAATGAACACAAAAAAGGACAAAACTGAAATGAATACCCAATGAAGTAACATGTTAGCTTGAAAGTAAAATCCATGTACGGTAAATCTGTGGAACTTGCTTCCCGAAATGTTTATGTGACAGTACAGCTACATATGTGCAAGTAACAGATCATTTAGCCATGATTCAATGCAAAGTAAGTGTCCATACATGCAAAGTAATACACAATTCTACACAATCTTTGAGCCATTTAACAAGTTTAGCATTTCACCTATCAAAACCACTTCAGTGTCAAAGTGACAACAAGGTGAAGAAACAAAAAACTGACTGAAGCCCCAAAAATGTTACTAATGAGCTGCTGGCAACACTTAAAATGACAATTTCAAGGAAGTTAATAAATCTTGTAGCCCACACTAGGTTTTTATGAGTTGCAATTAATACCATATGAATAAGGGATAGTGTTGTAGTCACATAGGAATTGATGTGCAGATAGACACAGAAAACTATGTTATTTTTTTCTCCCCCAAAAAAAAAAGTTTTTAGCTCAGTAATTAAGATGTCTAACCAACTTATTACTGGGACGCGGGTGGCGCTGTGGGTAAAACCTCAGCGCCTAGGACTTGCCGATCGCATAGCTGGCGGTTCGAATCCCCGCAGCGGGGTGAGCTTCCGTCGTTCGGTCCCAGCTCCTGCCCACCTAGCAGTTCGAAAGCACGTCAAAGTGCAAGTAGATAAATAGGTACCGCTTTATAGCGGGAAGGTAAACGGCGTTTCCGTGTGCTGCTCTGGTGCCGGTTCGCCAGAGCAGCTTCGTCACGCTGGCCACATGACCTGGAAGTGTCGGCGGACAGCGCTGGCCCCCGGCCTCTAGAGTGAGATGAGCGCACAACCCTAGAGTCTGTCAAGACTGGCCCGTACGGGCAGGGGTACCTTTACCTTTACCTTAACCAACTTATTAAAAAACATACATGGAAAGCAACTCACATCTTGACCAATATCATGGAACATTTTACATTTTGATTAGACTGCCAAGGAATCCCTGTACAATGATAAGGATTTGAGGAACTGTGCAAAAGCATGCACACATTTCATACTGGTCTGTTCAATTTCACCATGAACTGAGAGTATGCCTTAGACTAGAGTTTTCCAAACTTTTCATGTTGGTGACATACTTTTTAGACATGCATCATTTCGCAACACAGGAATTCAGTTTTACTAGCAAACTGGAGGTTTCCAGCCCTCGGAGGAGCACAGGGAGCGTTCGCCTGACACACCTACACACTGCAGCCGACACACTAACGTGTCGTGTCACACCGTTTGGAAAGCTCTGCCTTAGACACACAATCAACAATCCTTCATTAGTTTCTCATTATAGAAGTAGATAGCTCATTGATGCACCAGCAGACTTTAACAGAAACATGTCTCTAGGTTCATTAAAAAGTAGTGGCAATCTACCTCTAAGGATTCACACCGTTCTTTGAATAGTTTAAAAATTAATTGTCTGGAGCAAGGGTAGCCAGTGTGGTGCCCTCCTACTATAAGTTCTATCATTCCAGAACCCTGGCCATGCTGGTTGATAGGAGTTGTTTACAGTGGTGGTAGCAGTAGTGGTAGTAGTAGTAATAATAATAATAATAATAATAATAATAATAATAATAATAATAATAATTTATTATCTATACCCCGCCCATCTGGCTGGGTTTCCCCAGCCACTCTGGGCGGCTTCCAACAAAATATTAAAATACAATAGTCTTAAAATACAATGGTACCTCGAGTTACGAACTTAATTCATTCTGGAGGTCTGTTCTTAACCTGAGGTACCACTTTAGCTAATGGGGCCTCCCGCTGCTGCCGCTGCGCGATTTCAGTTCTCATCCTGAAGTAAAGTTCTTAACCCAAGGTTAGCAGAGTTTGTAACCTGAAGTGTTTGTAACCCGAAGTGCTTGCAACCCAAGGTACCACTGTATTTTTATTTATCAGATTTATATCCCGCCCTTCCTACCAAAGAAGCCGAGGATGGCAAACACTCCTGTAATAAAAATAAAATAAAAAATTAAACAAAACATGTTAAAAATATTTTAAACTTGTTAAAAACATCTAAAAACAATGCAACACAATAAAATATGTGGCCAATCGTGTGTGAATAGGCCTCCCAAAAGAGAAACATTTTCAACAAGCTTTAAAAAGAATACAATAATAGCACCTGCCTAATGTCAATAGGCATGAAGTTCCAAAGTGCAGGTCCTGATATACTAAAGGCGTGACTCCTGACACTGTGCATGACAACCCCTCAAGTAAATAACATACTAACATATTCAGTCTTAGTAGTTTGTTTGATAACTGAACAGCTTTTCAGGACACAAACAGAAGTTCAGAAAGAGGACATTCTGCAAGAAAGGTTCACCTAGTAATAGGCACCATTACACTGCAACTGGAATATAGGCTTTGGCAGCTAATGCTGTAGCAAAATGAATTTTGATCTGTACTCTTTTCCTAGGAACTTCTACCAAGCTAGCAAAAGGTGCCCCACACTCAACCAAGAGTTTTAAAGGACAATAAAACTTACCCTCTTGCAGGATCTAAGGCAATTGCTCTGGGTTGATCCAATTCTTGCCAGAATAAAACTTTTCGCAACGATCCATCTAAATTGGAAACTTCAATCCGGTTTGTTTCAGAATCCGTCCAGTATAGTTTTTTGCCTAGCCAATCACAAGCTAGCCCATCAGGTGATAAAAGCCCAGAAATAACCACATTTTGCACACTCCCTGATTTGTTGAATTCTGTTCGCTTAATGGCTTCTTCGCTTACATCACTCCAGTATATCAAGCTGTGGATGAATACAAAGTCCACAGCAGCTGCATCCTCCAAGCCACCCACCACAACTGTAGCATTCTCATTCACCTGTGCAGCGTCTACCAGTCGCAGGTCACGCCGATTTGCATATAGCAACAGAGGAGAACCTAGGAAATAAGAGAAAAGCATTAAGCTGGGCTATGCACAAATTAAGGATTCGACAGACATCAAGTCACAACGTGAAGTAATTAGCAAGTTAATATTTAATTTTTATTAAAAAAGAACTTCCAGTGTTATCACCTTTCTAAAAAATATGAGGGATTTGAAATCACAGGTGATCGTGATCATAGTTACAACAACTTCAATAACTCACTCTTAACACTGTAAGAGCTTTGCAAGTAAGAATGGATATAGTCTTTCTCCTCCACTCATAAGGTAACAACACAGGAGACACACAATTAAGCTGACCAGCCCTAGGGTCTGGACAACAAGACAAAAAGCACTTCTTCACACCACACATCATTAAATGATAGGTTGTTCTGCCACAAATAGTAAAAATGTGCACTGGCTTAGATTCTTTTAAGTGGGATTTGATAAATTCACAGAGAATAGATCTGTCAAAGGCGCTTTACTAAGGAGGATAGCTGAACAGAGCCTATACATTTAGAGGCAGTATACTTCTGATGACCCACAAGCTGCTTATGAATTTCCAGACACATCTGGTTGGCCCCAGATGAAGACTGAATGTCTCATGCAGCAAAGCAATTTTGTTTGTATGCAGTCATCAAAAGTTAGCAACACACAAGAGAATGCGAGGGCGCACATGCACAAACCTCACACCTATCTTATTTGGGGCCAAAATACAGTACGTTTCTCTGCCTGGAAACAAGGCTCATCCAAAACTAGACAACTCTCTTTATTCCCTAGCAAATTTTCCAGTTCCAGGAACCACATTGAATATGTCACAAGCTCATTTGCAATTAGGTAATAAGAGCACATCACATGATGGGCAAATTAGTCCATATACAACCAGTCTGCTGCTTTGACCTATAGAACTGGCATAGCTACAGGTGCCACATAATATTAATTCTGCACTTGTAAGAAATTGACATTTTAGTGTGGTAGAAGCTACCTTTGGAACTCCCTACCTATTGCCATCAGACATCACCGACCTTTCGTGTACTTTTTCATTACAATGTTTTTGTTTAGTCAATCCTACCCAGACATATAGAAGTTATTCCTGTCTATTTCTTTTTAGCTACTGTTGATTTTAATCATCTTTTGAATATTCTTAAATAGTTGTTTTTAACTGCTTTTTAGCAAGAATTTTAACATTTTATATTTTTGGCAATTGTTTGTAGGGTTTCTTGGAATCGAGCAGTATATAAACATTGTTCAATAATAAAGTTATTAATATGGTTGGTGCCATAATAGCAGGAGCAGGTGGTGCTGTGGTCTAAAGAACTGAGAAGCTTGGGCTTGCAGGTCCCAGGAAGGTTGGTGGTTTGAATTTGCACGACGGGGGGAGCTCCTGTTGCTCTGTCCCAGCTTCTGCAAACCTAACAGTTCAAAAACATACTGTGAGTAGCACTTGATCGTGGATAGGGGACTTGACCTGGCATGTGTAACAGAGACTTGGTTGGATGAAGCAGATGGGCCTGTTCTTGCTGCTGCTTGTCCACCAGGTTTCTCTTACGCACAGCAACCCAGGCCTTGCAGTGATTTTTAGGAAGTCATTAGTTTGCACCAGGCGTCCTATTGGGAAGACCCAGTTCTCTGAGTGCATGTTCTGGAAGTTGGGCAATAGGGGCAGTACAGGATTCATTTTGGCGTACCAACTTCCCCACTGCACCAAGGACTCCCTGTCCAAGCTGCTTCAGGTCGTGGCAGATGTTCTCCTGGAGATACCTAGTTTGGTTGTCCTAGGGGATTTTAACATCCATGCCGACACGACCTTTACAAGGGGCCGCTCGGGACTTCGTGAAAAGAATGGCCTCCATGGGGCTGTCCCTGAATAAGTCTGGCCCAACTCATAATCGCGGACATGCCTTAGACCTGGTGTTCACCTCTATGGATGTGGGTGATCTGACACTAAGTAAAAGCGAAACAAAAGAAGTGCCATGGTCAGATCACTTCCTGGTGCAACTGGACTTCTCTGCAACTCTTCCCCTCTGCAGGGAGGTGGGACTGATTTGGATGGTCCGCCCCCACCACTTAATAGATCCAAATGGTTTTCAGAGAGTGGCAGGGGATACTTTATCTCATGTTGATGGCCTTTCAGCGGATTCCCTGGTGGCCTGCTGGAAAGTGGAGTTAATCAGGGCTATCGACTGTCTGGCTCCGAAACGCCCTCTCCAAGTGGATGGAGCCTGGACAGCTAACAAAGTAGTAAGAAACAATAAAACTAAACAAACATAACAAATTAAAACAACAGACTGTAAAGTCAAAACAGTTCTAAGTAAAACATTCGTATTTCTTAAAAGTGTTTTTGCTTGGCACAATGTATGCCTATCTAAGGAGGGTGTTTCAAAGGTGAAAAGGCAGCATTGAAAAGTATTTCTCTCCTGATGCCACCCACTGTACTTCAGATGGCAGGAGAACCCAGAGAAATGCTTCAGGTGGCAATTTCAGTAGACTAGCAGAGTGCTAGGAGAAAACACAGGTATTTGGGTCTTTAGCCATGTAGGGCAAGAATGAGGAATCTGAGGTCATTGCGATGTTGTTGGGACTACAACTCCCATCATCCCTGGCCACTGGCAATGCTGGTTGAGGTTGGCGGGATTGTGGACCTAAGCAGTGCAGCTCCACTACCCCGCTCCAACACACCACCTAAGCTTAGGGGTTTTAGATTGATGTCAGAAGCAGCAGCTTCTTGTCTGTGCAAAAACACACACACAAAGGAGCAGGAGTTGATCAGAGTGTGCAACAAGAGTATAAAAATAACACGTAAAGTTGGAGGGGAGAAAAAGAAGGAAATAGATGTTGTTCAAGCATGTGGAAAGGAAGTGAAAGAGCGGGAAGGAAGTTGGTGAAGCAGACAGAAGGACTGTGAGAGAAGAAAAGGAGCAGTGCCTGAAGTTGCTGACCAACACACCCAATCCTCCACCTTCCAGCCCGATCTCATGCCAAGCTAGGATACTTCTTCCTTTTCTGAGTGCACGCATTAACAGAAATTAAAGAGAGAAATAAAAGGTGACATTTTTAAGACAACGTAACAACAATCCTAATACCTGTACGATAAGGAAGGGATAAGAGGGGGAATTGGTCATAACAAAGTTTTAAACATAAAATGAGAAGGGATGAAAACTGCTAGTTTTTTGGGAGCAGCAATACAATTCACTTTACGTGTTAAAGAAGGGAAGACATGACAAGAGATGAGTAAAAATACCTTTGAGAGGTATGTGGGGAAGAATATATAATGAAAGGCCTTCTCCACCTAGTATTTCTGAATCAGCAAATTCTGTTTGAAATGTGAAGGCTGAGAAATGATGTACTGTACTTAACTTGAGAAAAACTGGACTACAAAACTAACTGCTACAACAAATTCACTAAGAATGTAGCTATTTCCAAAGAAGGATTAGTAGAAAGTGACCAGTGGCCAGTAATTGCCAGTTGATTATGTGAAACCCCATTTCCATCCTCTGTCATTTGTGACTGGCTCTGCCTCTGCACCATCATTTTGCAATTGGCAGGCCTCAATAACTTCCAGTCCTCTCAATGGGCCCTGGAGGTAGAAAGTTTGAGGGCCTCTGTTTTAAAGGTTAAGGCTAGCACTTGAAATTGAGCTCAGAAACTGTCCAGAAGTCAATGCTTTAACATAGGTGATCCCAGGTTAAGTTAGCAGTGTAGCAACACTGATCTGGACTAGTTTCTGTTTCTGAACTGTCTTCTATGACGGCCTCATTTAAAGCACATTGCATAAATCCAACCTGAAAGTTACCTGTGCATGGAAGGAGTCAAAGTGGATCACAGTTCTTCATTGCTCTCAGAAGTGCTATTTTTCTAGAACAAGAGGTACTCACTATGAACGCTTCCCTTGTTCTCTTATACTGGCAATGGAGCCCACCTGAGAGGGGCCGGAACTGAGTTCTGGCAAGTTCTGACTAGAAAAAAAGCCCTGACCCTAAGCCCCAGTAAGTCAGTGGGAGGGAGCATAGGAGAAACTCTGCTTTACCACCCTTTTGCCCATAACTTATTGAAACTGATTCCATGAAATCCCACTAATTTATTAGCATGTCCATATAATTCTTAACAGTATTTTTCTCCAATCTGTACTTTCAACACTTCTGGCAGGTTTCTACGTAGTATGAGAGTATTTATAGACTTCCTGTTTCCTCCTGTGCCAGGAATGGAGGTTTCCTTCGACACCACAGGGACAGACAGAGAAAAAGAAAGAAAGATGAGGGAATTTATGTCTGGGTGGGAAAGGAATGGCTCTCACCTGTGGATTGCCTTGCGGTCAAGCACTTGCTTCCCTATGGAATGGCAGGGCAGGCAAAGGCACAAGTCTGACTGCCACGACCTGCCACAACCCCCCCCCCCCACCGTTCCTGGAAGCAGAGGATATCCTGCTAATTGGGCTTTAATTGGAATAAAGTACAGGCACGTGCTAGAGGCGATGAGTTGACAAACTGTGGAACATCTCAGCTACAAGGATTTAAAGGTTGAAATTGAGATAAGGTTTCATTTGGTGACAGAGACGGTAGAGGGAGGAGCCAGTTGTTTTTCAAAGTTTTTCTTCTACATTTCTGATTCGGCAACCCTCCTTGGAATGCAAGGTTAAAACATGATATAAAAAGTGAGCGTGAAAGAAACTAGATTAATGACATGAAATTTAATATCAAACTGGAATTGCATGTATGAGAGGAATGGAATGGAGAGAGAGAGAAAGATGGGGAAGTTTCACCTTTTTAAAGGACTATGTTGAAATATGAAACGAAACCACCCCTGCGCTCTGTTATTTTCAAAGGAATGCGAAGGAGACTGAGACAATTTGGAATTTTCAGCTGAAAGGAGGAAAGGATTCTGCCGGCTGCAAAGTCAGAGGTTTTCTTATTAATCATTGGCAGTTTGGAATCAGACCGCTCTTCCTAGGTTGGAAAAAAAATTGTGAGGACAGTTTATTTGTTAAAACAGAGGGGTCTCTAACAAGCTCTTGAATCATGGG